GTTTAGGGCCACGAGCGAAGATCCCCTTGAATAAACGGTGCGGACTACTTAGGGCTGAAACAAACATTGCATGAATGATATCTGGTACCACAGGCCACCGGGCAAACAAAATGCCGATATACAAGAAGCTATGTGAATGATGACATCAATAAATGCATGACTTACCGACCTTTTAAGTCCTTCCTGAATCGAACTCATCATCCTTGAAGTTGGTGAATGTGGGGTTTGCAGCAGCCCAACTTCCCATTGGTGGCAGGGATGAATAGGAGATACCTTGGTTTGTAGTTGCAGTAGCTGCCCCTAAATAATTCCCTGAGTACTGTTGGGGCTAACGTCCTTAAGTGGTACAGCCAGTAAGGCAAAGCCTTTTACCCGTAGTTGACGCATATAAGTTACCATGCATATTAACGACCCCGCTGGATTGTCACACCAAATGGAATCAACTGAAAAAGAGGAGCCATGGTCTGGCCTGCCGTGGCTTGATGGAACCCCCCCAAAACACACAGATGGCCTGCATCTGTCTTAACATTGCTGCACCCAAAAGCCGCTGTTGGAGCCGTGACACTATCCCATTGAACCCACTGCCATCCAACGCTGTACGTTGGATGTCAGTACGGCTCCTGTCCCCAGCTTTAGTTGAGGAGGTTGGGACAAATAAGCCGGCATGTCTAGCTAGCAGCATGTGATGCGTATGGCGACAATAAAGCAACCCCATTGCGCTGCCTCTCTGACCAACTTAAAGCTGCACACCTTCCTCAGTAGCTTAGCCTTGGAAGAAGTCGCACAGTTGGCACCTGCAATTGTGATTGCCAACCTGTCACTTGCACAATGACGCAGCCGAGGGCTAATCTTCTCTTCTCTATTTTATTTATTTATATTGCTACCACCTCTAGTGCACGCACATGAAACAGGCGCCTGATGTTATTGCTTAGGATTCTGTGGACGATCGGCAAAAGAAACCACACCCGTGTAAGAATACGTGTTCAAGAATTGGAGCCTGGTCGAGGTTATCAAAAATTCAGCCGAACGACTTCTCTCGTTCTGGGAAATTTATTTGTCAGATCACAGGTCAAGTATCAGCGCTGCGTTTGCAATGGCAGGAGCAGTTCAGGCAGCACACAGGCCGGAAGAACAACTAACTAACATCAGCAAGAACATCATGTTTTATAACCCTTGAAAGACAGAGAAGGAAAGATTTCTATTGGCCCTAAACTGGCGTAGAGGAGGACATTCCAACTCCCGCATCTAAAGATCCGGTCACATCCAATGTCCAGACTCCTGACTTAACGTAAACATCAGCGAACAGAGTGTGTATGTTGAATAGTGTTGGTGTGTCTCTAAATCCCCCTTTGGCTGGGAAATCTGCTAGTTGACCCGCAGACCTTGCATTCCTCAGCGAGGACAGAAACTGACTCGCCATCTTGTCAGAATCGTGTCTGCCTGCTCGGCACATCCTGCTTCCCCCCTTACCTAACTCTTAATTCAAGACAAGACAGCGAACCCCCAACTAAGCCCATGAAAAGAACTTTTGATTATCACCCGTGAACAGCTCCGTTTCGCATCGTGACGAAGTGTTAGCTGCTTGTGTGGAAGGCCTACCCCGTGGTAGACCCTGCACTGCCAATGCCGCGCTCCTCCGTTCTGCGTGGATGTGGAGGGTTGACTTGTCATACAGAGGTTGTCGCGTAAAGCCCCGTGGCTGCGATGCTGGTTCCCGTGCTCGAACGGGCTCGTAGTAAACCAGATGTCGCAGGCGAGCCTCAATACAAAAAGATAGCAAAAGAACTGAATGTCCTTAGAAATACAGTTGGAAGCATAGTTCAAAGCAAGTTCAAAGTTGAAGGAACAGTGGCTACACTACCTGGACGTGGCAGAAAGAGGAAGCTATCAGGGAGGCAAGTGGTCAAAAACCCTCGAGTGACTGCAAAACACCTGCAGCAAGACTTGGTGGCAACAGGCACTGAGGTTTCAGTTTGCACAGTAAGGCGCATACTAAACACTGAAGGGTTCGAAGCCCGGACTCCAAGACGCACACCACTACTGACCCAAAAGCACAAGAAAAGTCGGCTCCAATATGCTGAAAACCTTATAAATAAGCCACCGAAGTTTTGTAATTCTGTTCTGTGGAGCGATGAGACAAAACTAGAACTATTCGGGCCTATGGATCAGCGCTATGTCTGGAGGAAGAAGAATGAAGCATATGCTGAAAAGAACACCCTGCCTACAGTGAAGCATGGCGGTGGCTCAGTGATGCTCTGGGGCTGCTTTGCTGCCTCTGGCACTGGAAACCTGTAGCGTGTGGAGGGCACGATGAATTCAGTCAAATATCAGGAAATCTTAGGAAAAAACAGCGTGCCGTCTGTGATGAAGCTGAAACTTGGGCGTTGGACCTTCCAACAGGACAATGATCCCAAGCATACCTCAAAGTCCACCAAGGCTTGGTTTCAGAAGAAGAAATGGAAGATTCCAGAGTGGCCGTCACAGTCGCCTGACTTGAACCCCATCAAAAATCTCTGGTGGGATTTGAAGAAGGCGGTTGCAAAACGCACACCAAAGAATATTACTGAACTGGAGGCCATTGCCCATGAGGAATGGGCTAAGATTCCTCAGGAACGCTGTCAGAAGCTGGTGTCTGGCTATGCATCAAGTTTGCAGAAGGTCATAACAGCAAAAGGGTGCTCTATTAAGTACTGGAGATGCTTGTCATGAAGGGGTTTAATAATTTTGAGACTGCAGTAAATTCAATAAAGTCATTAAAAGTAGCATTTTGTGTTGAATTTGGACAAAACCTTTGTAATGTTAGTTTCACTAAACTACTTAAACAATTCTTGTGTCATTTGTTTATTGCAAACAGCTGAGAAATTGTATATTTTTGCCAATAAACCTAATGTGCAATGGGGGGTTGAATCATTTTGATTGCAACTGTAACTGCAATTTACTGGCAGTCTACGCTAGTAACTTACTGTTTTATTTACAGTGCCCTGCCGTCATTAACGGTATGTTGTCGTATATTGGATTACAGTTTGTTACCATACGATTACTGTTTTTGTGTTATAAATACCAGAATGTTACCATTTACTTATAACCGTATATTTTTGCATTTAATTCCCCACAAATTAAAGAAAGACAACCAAACTCATTTCGGTCCTAGTGGTTGGAGTTTATTAGATGCCTTTAAGACAAAAATGTTAGGCCTTTGTAACCAAGAACAAACATAAAATATGCCGCATGTATACAATAATAAAAAAATGAATTATAAAATCATTAGGAACAAGGTAAACTAACTGCAACAATACGTTATGGAACACTTTCAATTGACCGCAGCAAACGGCTGGCGTCCTTAATCCAGTGCCTCTGTAAAACAAACCAAAATAAAATATTTAGAAACACTGTCATTGGTAAAATATTAAAATTACAAAGATGAGGCAAATAACACTTACCACCGTTACTTGGAGAGACGAGTCAATGAGAAACTCCTCCGATGTTGAACTGCACTGACAGGTGTTCTGGATGAACTGAGATTACGCGTTCAGGAGCAGTCGGTCACGATTAACACTCAAATGACTTTTAGGTAATGAACACTTTGAATAATACAAATATTTATAATCTTTACATTCCGGCCACTGAAACGACAGCAAAGGCGGCGCATGGGATAGGGAGGATGTGCTGTTCTGCTCAAGGTTGGTGGTTTGAATCCTGGCTGCTCCCTGTGCCAAGTTGAAGTGTCACTGAGCAAGACACCTAACCTCCAATTACTCCACATAAAATTATATCAAACCATGGGCGTTTTGGGTAAAAGTGACAGCTGCATGTATAGTAATGCCCTGTAAGTCAAAGTCATCATCGTATCTCATGAGATACTATCTCATTAAGATGACTTACAGGACCTGTTTTTCAGTGGCTGACATGGGCATCCATACATTAACCTACAACAGATGTAGATGGATTGTGATTCACTGCATTTGTATGTGTATTTCCACCACTTCATAAAATATATGTAACATGCAGTTGAATTACGGTAGTCTGCTATTATTGTAAATTGACAGCTTTAACTGTTTATTCATGACATCGGCCATTAATTTACAAGCAAGGGATGAAAATTTAACCGTATGTTACAATTATTATGACATACTGTAAGATACCGTTAGAAATTGTCAGGATCTCCGATCCCCCCGAGTTGGTTGATGAGAAGAATCGCAGCACGTTGATCAATTAAAGTCAAAAAGTTAACATTTATTTAGAAGAGAAAAAGATTACATGAGCAATTCTCCGCAGATATCTGGCTCTAACTATTGCTTGCAAGCAGGAGGTCCAACACACCAGCACCTATCTCAGCGCTCGGTGTAATGACGTCTCCGAGCAGTCAAAACACATGTGAAGGACATTCTCCGTGCCAGCTACGAGAGGCTGCAAAGCAGGTTGAGATAAGAACCCAGGTGAAGCTGAGGGTAGCACACACACACACACACACACACACACACACACAAGATCCTCCTCAGTGGCCGGTGCAAATCATAGTTAATTGACATGAAAGTAAAACTTGGATCCGGAACTTTCGTACCGAATAAGATATGAACCAAGGCCATGAACAGAAGTCCTTTGTTTTGAAGCTTCTATGAGATCGAGTTGCCCGCCCTCCCTTCTCAGGGCACAGCTGCAAACTAACATTTTGTATCATGCTGCTCTTTCCACATCAGGGTCAAATACAGGACACTTGAGACACGGCTTTAGCACAAAACAATGTTATAACATATTTTACCATTACATTCCACTCTTTTGATTATTATGATTAAGTCTCGTGTTGTTTAGCAAGCAAGTGTGAACCACTCTTTAGATTGACACTTGTGGGGGTAGGGTCGCCTGAGCCCACTGCTGGTACTGGATCTGGAACCTTCTGGCAATGGGACGCGTGGACCCAAGTTGCCCTCTCAGCTACTTTGACAGCTGTTTGGGTGACAAGGAGAATCTGGAATGGTCCCTGCCAGTGTCGTGCTTTCCAGTTTTTTCTCCTGAAGTCTTTCACCACCACAAAGTCACCAGGTTTCAGTTTGTAGAGCGGTCCTTCGGCTGGTTTTGGGAGGGCGGCTGCAACCTGTTGTCGTATGTCAGACAGAGCAGAAGAGAGTTGTGCACATAACATGAGTTATGTTCGCATAATGCGGTTGAAGGGAGTGGTGCCGTCGGTGCCTCGGCTCCTACGTGAGGAGGAAAACCAAACAATATCTCGAAGGGACTCAGGTTGCTTCGTGTTCGTTTTCTCATGCGCATGTACATCAACACTAGAGGTAGGGCTTTTGTCCAGGGCAGACCTGTGTCTGCACAGCATTTTGCCAATTTGGTTTTGAGTGTGCCATTTTCTCATTCCACAGCCCCTCCACTGGCTGGATGGTATGCACAGCGTGTTTTTTAAATCAATACCCAGGTATGCGCTTAATTCTGTAATGGCCTGGTTGACAAAATGAGAACCATTGTCACTTGATATTTTAGAAGGAATGCCCTATCGAGGGATGATTTCAGAAATTAGGGCCTTGGCTACTGTTGTAGCGTTTTTTTTTGCCTGATGGAAAAACCTCAACCCACTTGGAAAACATGTCTACCATCACTAGACAGTGTTTCTTACCTTCAGATGGAGACAACTCCACAAAATCCATCATAATGTGCTCAAATGGGCGGGTTGGTGGTGGGTGTGCAGCCTTGCTGGTCACGCCCACGGGCCTGCCTACATTGTGAGTAGAACAGGTGACACATACAGAACAAAATTTTTGTGCATATGCTGTGAACCCTTTTGTAAACCACGTCTCATTAAGTGCACGTAACATTCCCCCTTTTGACACATGGTCTAACCCATAAGTCAACTTAGCATAATGAGCAAAATAGTGTTTAGGTAAACACGGCTTGCCGTCGGGCCCAGTCCAGATACCGTTGGTGTAAACACAGCCAGATGTGGACCAAAGCCGTCTTTCATCAGGGGTTGAGAGTGACTGCATCGCTGTAAGAGAGGAGGGAACTGACTCCTCAGAGCACATGAGAGCACAAGGTAGTGGGAAGCGGAAGCAGAGCAGCAGCTTTTGCAGCCGTGTCAGCTCGAGCATTTCCCTGTGATACATCATCCGTATTGGACGTGTGTGCTGCACATTTACAGACAGCAATAGCTGTGGGTAGTAAGATGGATTCCAACAGTTCAGCAATGAGAGTGTGGTGTAGGATGGGCTTACCATCCGATTTAAGGAAGTTCCTGTGTTTCCACAGCACCCCAAAATCATGTACTACACCAAACGCATAGCGAGAGTCAGTGTGAACTGTGACTCTTTTACCCTTAGCCAGTTTACAGGCTTCAGTCAGAGCGATGAGCTTGGCTGCCTGGGCTGAGAGGTGACATGGCAGAGGACCTGAACACAGCACACCAAAGTCAGAAACAACAGCAAAACCAACACAATTTTCACCAGACTGAGGATCTCGGGAGGCGGATCCATCCACATACATTACCATGTCGCTGTTAGGCAATGGAGTGTCCACTAGGTCAGGGCGAGGAGTGCACTGAGCAGCCCTGTCTTTCATCTACTGTTTGAGTAAATGGCTTATTCGGATTCGGCAGTCCAAGAGTCGGAGGAGTTTGCAAAGCACATTTCATTTGTGCGAAGGCCGCAAGACCCTCTTCAGTCCAGATTATTTGGTCGTGTGCTGTAAGATTTTTCCCATGGATTAAGTTTGATAACGGTTGTTCCATTTGTGAGTAGTTTGGAATAAATTATCAACAGTATGAGCACATGCCCAAAAAGGACAACATCTGTTTTTTGGTGTTGGGTTTCGGTAATGATACGATCGCGGTGATTCTTTTCGGGGAGAGGGTTTTTCCTTCTCCAGACATGTCATGACCTAGGAAACGTACATTTTGAGACACAACTTGTCATTTAGAAAGGCTGGCCTTGTGGCCTTCCTTTGCTAAATGTTTGAGTAGTTTAAGCGTGTCTGTCTGACACTGTGCCTGATTTGGAGCTGCAATCAAACAGTCGTCAACATACTGCAGAAATGCAGAGCAGGGAGAGAGCGTTAAGCTCTCCATGCTTTCTCTGAGCGCATCATTGTAGATTGTGGGTGATTCGGTATAGCCTTGACACAAACGAGTGAAAGTGTATGGCTTACTGTTGAAGTTGAATGCAAACCAAAATTGACTGTCTTTGTCGACTGGCACGCTGAAAAAAGCATTCGACAGGTCAACAACAGAAAACCATTTAGCTTCAGGAGGAATCTGAGCTAGGATTGTGTAAGGATTAGGAACATTTGCTGCCCGTGCATGAACGGCCGCATGTACTGCTTTTAGGTCCTGCACGAAATGCCATTCTGTAGGCTTGCCAGCATCTCTGATTTTTTTCACTGGAAATATTGGCGTCCTGACCGGTGAGTCTGGACATGGAACTATCACTCCTGCCTCCAGGAGCGAATTGAATACAGGTGTGATACCGTCAATGGCCTCTTGTCGCAGGGGGTACTGGTGTTTGTGGGGGCGGAAGTCAGAACGTGGAGTGATGACGACCGGTTGGCAGTTGTTGCTCAAGCCTACGTCATATTTGTGTGCCGCCCAGAGTGTGTGTGGAACAGAAGCAAGAGCGGGAGAAATCGATGTGGGAGTTGTTAAAAATGTTTCAACTTTGTCGTTGTGCTCATAAAACACATAGACAGATCGACAAGCTGGTGTGAGGAGTACACAGTGAGTTCTGTGAAACCCTGTAGAGGCAGAGCGCAGAACAAGCGGATCGATTGTCTCCTCCCAGTCAGTGAGAGATTCACACTGAGCCACAAATGGTCCCAAATCCCTCCATTGGTCAAGGCGTCCTTTAGACAGTGAGACATGGGGATAGGAGCCGGGAACTTGAAACAGTTCTTTCTGTGTGGGAGACAGAGAAATAGACGCAGCCGATTTACAAGTTGACCAGTACAAAGTAGAGCAAGCAATTGCATCATTGAGAGCCTCAAAAAATGTCTCTTCAAAAGAGCCGTCTGGACCCTCTGAGACATATGTTGTGCAATGCAGGTGTTCAGGGTTCATACGGTCTGCATGAGGAGAAACCCGTGCTTCACCAGCCTGGCTTAGCCTCCGAGCATCATCGATCGGGATCCACCACTGATACACAAAAAGAGGATTAGAGGGAGCCTTTTGCACCATTTGGAGTGCGGCTCTACGCCTAACCACTTTAAGGCCGTCTGGAGAGGACGGCAAACAAATACCATATGTACACATCAAGTCTCTGCCCATCAGCTTTAAGGGACAGAGTGAAGAGAGTAAAAAAGAATGTTTTACTTTTATGTCAGGGTTTAGGTCAGGCTCGTCAGAGTGTACACTCGTCATAGGTGCAGTACATTTTTTTGTCACAGTCAAACCTGAAGCCCCTTGAGAATATACATACCGGCCACTCATTTCTTTATTTGCAAAATGTTTTTCTTGAATTACTGAATGAGTAGCTCCGGAGTCTACTAAAAACGTCAATTCTTTCCCTTCCACAATTACTCTGGAGAGGAAGCAGTCGGTCCTCCGTCACACATGCGCTCTCCCTCCGTCAGTCTGAAGTGCCAAATTGTTGACCTCCTCTGTCAGTCCCGGAGTGGCGCTGTCGTCCATGTGGCTGACGTACCTGGTTTGAACGGTAGGGGCAGTCTTTGTACCAATGTCCTGTTTTGCCACAGAGGAAGCATTCATCGGGTTGCACTTCTCGTGGGGCCCCTCCTTGAAAACACCCTCTTCTCCCTTGATTTATTCCATATGCTCGTCTTCTCTGTTGGTCCCTCCCATAAGAATTTCCGGATCGGTGGGGGTCTCGCCCTCCTTCTGCAACCAGTGTCAACTGTTTTACGGCTTGGAGCATCGCAAGCTGGGCTTTGTCCCCAGTCTGCTTGCTGCGTTTGTCTTGACATATTTGATTTTCATTTTTACCACTTCTGTGAGCATCTTCCAGACCCACGACAGAGTGTTCAGTGGCAGTTTTAACGTCTGGCAGAAGCCCGTTCATGAAGGCGTTCTTGAGATGAGTTTCCCACACAGTCATGTTGGTTATGTCTGTGGGCTCCTCAAGGCCGCTGTGAATCTGAAAAGCAGCCACAAGACGCTGATAGTAAGACGTTACATCTTCGGTCCTACCTTGTTTTGTGCTGTTGATGAGGGCCATGTTTACTGTTGCCGGAAAAGCTGTAACAACAGCTGCACATACTGCGGTGACAAATGCTCTGTAGGCGACAATATCTGCGTTATCCCAGTCGGGTGCCTCGTGGCGGGAGTCAGAGCCCTGACCAGTGACCACCGCTCTGATTTTACTGAAAGCACTCGGGCCCACATGTTTGACCAGGAGACGATGGATCTCGGGTCCGGTGGGCATGAATTCTTTACAGAAGGCCAGGAACTCTTTTCCAAAGGCTGCACCGTTTTTGATGTCGGGCAGGTGAGAGGCTGCCTGTTGAATATCAGTCGCTGTCCAGGGTCGGAACACGACACCACGATGCCCATCCGGTCCCGGAACCTGAATCATGGGGGCCTGGATGAGGGAGCCGTCAAAATTACCGTCCATACTGTCCATATCAGGGTTTGACCATTGGCAGGCCAGGGGCTTTGGAGTGGATTGGGCTATGGGGTAATGCGAGAAGGGGTTGGTCGGGGACATTGGTGTTGCTGGACCGCCCTGGTTCTGGAATCTGGTGATGCTGCGGGTCTGGTATGGAGGGGGCGGTGGTCCCGCTTGTTGAGCTGGTTGAGGTGGGGGAGTTTGGTAGCATGTGTTCAGGAGAGGACCGCTTGCCCCTGTCAGGGATGGATACAGTGGAGAAGACACAAGTGGATTATTCTGTGTTACTATGTCAGGCTTTTCAGGTTTTAGACACGCCATTTGCTTCATTGTTTGTTTTCTCTCCCTGCATTCACATTCCATTTCCCATTGTGCCAGACATGTCTGGTTTTTCTCTATTATTTCCAAGTCTTTAACTTTGATATTTTTACCACTTTTCAAATTTTTTACCTTGCTTCCAAATCCCCTCTTAACATTTTAAGTTTAGCGGCACTCAACGAGCCGTTTTCTGGAAACCCAAACTCTTTTGTCCAGTATGGGAGACACTCTGTACATGTTTTCCCGTATTTCTGCTGCATCATTGCCACAATCGGACCCGATGGTTCCGTGTGTTTTGCGGACTGGCCACCCATCTTTTACTGGTGGACTCTACCGGTTTACTTATTACAATACAGTGGTCACCGTAAGGCTTAGTTTCTTTACTCAAGGAAAAACTTTGCAAAAACCCCACTCAAAACTCACGCTTCGATTTTGCCACGATCTTGTTCTAAAGTAGAACTCAAGTTTGGTTAACAAACTTTGGTTTACCTGCTTCAGCATAAAATTCACGTATAGGCTATTTCCACAATCTTATTCCACAGGTGGAATTCACGTTTAGTCAATAGCAACAGTCTTATTTTACCCGGGTAGTCAAGCGATCTGCGTTACGATCTCGGAGAATTTGTTCCAAGTGAAATCTTTACCGTAAGCAATCCTGTCTTCTACTTGTAGTCTAGCGATGTTACGATCTCGGAGAATTTGTTCCGAGTGAAATCTCTATCGTACACGATCCTATCTACCTTCGCATAAAATGATGCATTAGAAATATCCCGGAATCATGTACTAAATAATAATAATTTAAAAAAAACACCCAAAATGTTAAAAAATAATTGTATTCTCCAGACTATAACAACCACTTGATCAGTCATCCGTTTCCGTTATGTTCAACTCTTACTGTTACTTTATAATTGGAATTTCAACTTTTTACCCGAGTTTGTAGAAATTAATTATTTTTCGCTGGATACACGTGACGTCAATCAGGACTCCTCTGGTTTCCACCGGCCCTTTCTCTCTTGTCTAAGGAGGTATGAGGCAGGATCATCAGCTGGTGATCGAGTTGACCGCCCTCCCTTCTCAGGACACAGCTGCAAAGCAACATTTTGTATCATGCTGCTCTTTGCACATCAGGGTCAAATACAGGACACTTGAGACACGGCT